ATAGCTCCCACTTTTTTGGAGTTTTACTGGTTTTGCCATTGTGATTTCCTGGAATCCCGAGGTTAGCATTGTTAGAGTCTGCTTAGTTTCGTGGTATAGAAATGTTTATTTGCTTCTTAACGGTTTACCGCATCGTGGCTGGCTGTTCCTAGTGTCGGGCTGCGATGTACAGTGGGAAGATTCATCCCCCTGGCAGGGTCTCCCAAACTGAGAAGGAGTTCGGTGTTTTCACTAGGAAGCCTAGGTAGGAGAGCAAACCAATATCATAGTCAACCACCGTTTTGATATCAAACTGGTCACATGGTGGCAAATCTCGCTGTGATCCTCAATAGCGGCGACTGCCTGTGGTGGTGACGACCTGCGCAAAGTTTTGCCTGGTTGAGCTAGGGTCTCCAGGGAGCTGCAGTGGCTAAACTAGCAAAAATTTGGAAATTATGGTGGGGATTGGATAGCCAGTGAGGACGGTCCGTCCAAGTATACAAGTAAGTATTTGGAGGAATGCTGTTACACCGTGTCTAAATTCTTCTTAGATAAATGCTGTTACAAGAATGTTTGGATAAGTTTTGGAGCAAACTTTTCAGAATGCCATCCAGTATTGCGGCATCCAGTTCATCATCTGATGAAAGCCGAGCGCGCCCGAAAAGTAGCAGCCGCAGTCCCCCGTTTCAGTACCGTCGTCGGTAAACCGCGCACTTATTGAACATTTATATTCGTTTCATCTATGTATCTCTTTCAGATCTCCATCGCGAAGTAATTCGGTTAAATCCCCATCTACCTCTCCAATTAGACAGCGTGAGCGTCGACATCGAAGGTAACTTTTTTCTCACTTTGTTCGGGTCTCTTTTCCAATCGCCTAGTCCTTTCATTGGGTTTCCTTTGTTCAAGTTTGTTTAAAATAGATTTGGTGTCTTCCATGAGTCCACTTTGTCGTATTCATTTATTAGGAACAGATCAAAGTCTTCAGCGAGCAGATCTCCACAGCGCCGAACTCGTTCATCACTACGAACTGAGATATCACCGCCAAGGCGTTTTCGATCGCCCATCAGAAGGCGGTCCCGATCAAGGTGAGATCTTCATTATTCCAACGAATTTACTTTCTCATTCCTGCTTACTGGTTTAGCTTTTCTTTTACCAAATGCAGTAAGAAAGCCACATGCTGGCGCACATGCGGTTCTTATTTTGGGGAACAGTCGGTTAGTAGTTTAACTGGAAACCGACTGTTTTCGCATTTTTTAGAAACGGAGATTCTCTGTTACACTACCAACGAATCTCAGCTCACTGAAATTGAGATTTCATGCGCCAAGAATTACTGCAAAGTAGTAATCTTCGCTTTCTTTCATGTTAACATGATGAGAAATTTGCACTTGTTCCGCAAACTTTCAGTAGTGGAGACAATGCAGGACGCAAACGTAACCGTCAAGGCAGCCCTCATCGACACCACTACCGCGATAGGAAGTTAGTTAAATTGGGTATTATTAAGTCTTAAGTGATACTTGTTCCTAACCCTTCTTTTTCCACTAGCAGGTCTCGTTCGACTTCTCCGAAGAGGCGAAATGCAAGACAGAGGTCGATATCACACTCAAGATCTCGAAGCCCGGCGAACTCTCGCAGTACTTTTATGAGCAAGTTCGTGTTTAGTCCGGGTTTTGTGATATAAGCTAGCATAATTTTTAGAAAGAGCATACTATTTTGCCATTTTAGACGCCGGACCCGAAGAATGTTTGTGTTAGAAAATGGTGCTCCTGAGGTTTGGGGACGGTCACCTGTTCAGAGTGAAATCGAGGAGGTATATGCTGCGTGAGTGTATTTAGTTCTATATTGGTTTCTTCCTTTCAACAGTTATTTTATGAATGAATTTCTTAGTTAAAATCATCAGTAGATTATCCTTTAACTCAATCTTAACCCTACGCGTTGATTTCATCAAAGAAGGAGAGAAAACGATGGCCGTTTTCAAATGCAAACTTGTATATCTCAGTTCATAGTGAAATTTATTGATCGAGTTAGATTCCGGTCGAATTCCAAGGTCTAGTCCAACCAGTTACAGGTTTCCATTTTCCACAAGAACCTTATAATTGAAGCTCGTATTTGGAATAGAGAAGCAATTGATCAAGCGAACTTTCGTCTCGAACATCACGCTGCATCACTAGTGTTTGCTACTGTTTCATTTAATTTCGAAGTTTAAAAACTGTACTTTGTCTACTGTTTCCCGAAAGCCACAACTTCAGAAACATTTGAAGTAAAATGTTTCGTAATAATAATTAGAGCAGTAGAGGGAAGTCTGTTCTAAAAGCCAGTTAAACTTTCACCACTGATGTTATGTTATCGAGAAATAACCACCAATTCGCGAATAACTAGTACGGTCGTGAATGTGTTGACAAGGTCTGTAGCTTGGCCGAAAAAGGCGTTCAATAAAATAATTTTGTTATCAACTTGAGAAGATTAGAAGAGGAAACACTAGGTTTGCTGAAACACTGTATTATAGTGAACCGTTCAAGCTAGTGTTCTAGCATGAAAGTTACTAATGGGTTACGCTGTTGTTACTTGTTTAAGACAAAAGAAGTGTTTACAAATGCGTTAACTTATTCACTATGAAAAACCATGAGGACCGAGCGCCATGTCCGAGTGTATCATTTCGTTTCTAGTTAAAGCCTAGTTGACTTATACGCCCAGTTCACTGTAGAAGCACGAGGCGTGCCATAGTTTGGTTCTATTCGGGCATTAGTGGCGCTGGTAGATTCCATTTCATCTTCTTGAGCAGTTTTTCCGAGTGTGGCATAAGTTAGCACTCTAGATTCCGTCGTTGACCAAATTGAAGCAATTAGCTACAGTATCTGTCGTCTTTGGCGTTCTTAACGGCAATTGAATCTTATGTTTCCGCAATGGCTAAACCAGCAAGGCTCCGAAAAATGAAGATTGTGCTGGGGCCCACGCAACCAGTGAGTATGGGCCATCCAAGTACCCAAGTAAGTTTCCACAATAGTGGAACTTCGCAAAAATGGCGATGCCTATCATTGTTCCTCTCACTTCCATAGCTTTTTGTGTTCTGTGTATTCTATATGTTCTTTTTTATGTCTTCCAATGTCTTCCTGTGTCTGCAGAGCATTTCTAACTCTTGTTTTTGTTAAAAGAAAATATGTTTTTATCCATCAACTTTGCTGTTAGTTTTTAATATACGGTTTTACAACAAATGGTGGGTGTTTCTGCGTTTATTAATAGGTTTTATTTCTTTTATTCCACACAAATGGTTCATCATGATAATTGCAAAGAAATTCCATTTTTTTTGTCTAGACGTTTTTTCCTACAGTTATCTCGTAGAGGAAAAAGGGTCGAATGTCATATCTGATCGATTGTTTATCGAAAGTAAACTGAAGAAAACTGAAAATTCTAAGGATAATGAGAGTTCATTTTTGCTTGCAGCTGAAGTCTGAAGAGTGTGGATGGGTGGATAAGAGTACAAGTGATAGTAATGAGGTTAGGATAAGTGGTGAAGCTGTGCGGTATCTTGCGACATATAGGACTTCGTACACAGGCAGTCTAGAATAGGACGACTGGTTCTATTTGGTTTCACAGGATCGATGCATTTTAAAAAGTTGTTTATTCCTAAATCTGCTTTCTGCAAAAAACGTGAACAGACGCCAGTATTTCATGTTGTTTTGGTGAGATATCTTTAAATGTTGAAATTATGTCTACAAGTTTAGTAGAAACGTCTTAATACTTGCCCACCAGCGACATTGTGAGTGACTGGACGAGTAAAGCTCGTCCAAAGTCTTTTTTTCTGTTTTAGAAATTGCTAAGCATAGAGAATAGCTTTTCTGGCAACGTTCGGAACAACATATATAAGCGCTGGGTCGGAAACCAATCGGTCGGTTGAACCAATGTTAAAGGAAAAAGTGATACATCACTTGTGCGCTCACGAACGTATTGAAACACTTCTTTATGTTAACTGTAATTTCTTTGAAAAATGATTTAAACTGTTGTTAGAAGTTTTTCGGCACAGCTCGTGTGGCATTTTTCATGACAAACTTACACTGCATGGCTACATTTAGCTTTTAATCAAACATTTTTAACCCATGACGCTTTTTCTTTTCAATACATTCACGCCTAGGTGACTGCTATAAAAATCGATCTTTTCTAGGGGGGCATTGTGGTTGGTATAACCTCTTGGAACTGATATTCTTTCCGTTGCCGAGAACTCTTTGCCTGTATTACTAGTAACCAGTGGTCAACCTATCGAATACATGTCATGATATTCACTGGTAGCTAAAAGCTGTATTTTTGCTGAGAAGTGTGCAAAAACCGTTTTTGGAATCAGTTCAATAACCGATAACCTGACAGGCAATTGAGTTTTGTTTCATTTCCAATAACTATGGTGAGTCATAGTTCTCGTATAGAACAGGCTAGTATAAAGAGAATACAGAGATGGATTCAACATAAACTGCATAGCACTTCAAAATGCTGATAAAAAGTGCTGTTGTTCAGATGTGCAATGCGTCATATGTCACATGTTAATAAGAGGGTAGTAAGACGTGAAGTGCTGGTAAAACCATTTTTACTCTAGTCAAAGGTATCAAATTTGATGTAGTTGTTGGACATGTTTTCCTGCTATAGTTTTAAAAACGTAATATAGGGTGAAGAAAGGTTGTTCCGCTAGTCTTGTAGTTGGCAAGACTTCAGCAGGTGTTTTTGAAAATGTTTATGGCTTATAGCAACATACAGTTTTATGTTGAAAGAGATTTTAAGGTACCTTGAATGTGAAGAAAAAAAGAAGAGTGAAGTACTGAAAGTGGAGAAATTAAAGGAGACTCGAAATATTGAGAGAAAGCTTGAAGAAAAGAAGCGACGTGCTGATGTCTTGAAAGGCAGTAAGTGATTTCTTCAGCATTGCATAACACTGTTTGTTTCTGGATTTTTGATATCTACTATGTATACTCTTATTTTTTCGAAATATTTGCTCTGCATTTCTGCTTCTGTGGACTTTAGCTTAGGTGAACTTCAATTGTTTAGAAATTCCTGAAAGCTCTGACAGTGACACGTCTACCAAGAAGAGAAAAAAGAAGAAAGGAAAAAAGGCAAAGAAAGAAAAGAAAGCTAAAAAAGAGAAAAAGAAAAAAGCCAAAAAGAAGGCAAGGACCTTGTTGTTGTGTGACTTTTCTCTTTTAATAGTGCATAGACCGATTAATTCATCTTTGAGAAGTCGAAAGCCGATGAGGATGACAGCGATGAATGGGTGGAGGTAACACATGACATGAGAATGGAGGAAGCTGCGCGAGAAGCTAGGGAGGAGCAGGAAATCCCAGGACCCGCTTTACCGGAACATCTTCAATCTCGCTGTCAACTTGGAATGCATATTAAAGCCAAGTATGAACTTTCGTAGAACATTTTTTAGCTTTTTTATCTCAGTGTACCTTTCCAATTATTGTCTTGGTTTCAGTTATGGAAAAGACATGCTGAAAGGTGAAGCAGCAGCCATGGCAGCATATGCGGCAAGAGGAGAACGTATTCCTAGAAGAGGTTGCTTTTAGTGAAAGTGGACGCTTTGTTATTTTGCATGCGTTTTTATTTTCAGGTGAAATTGGTCTCTCTTCGGCAGAAATCAGTGAATTTGAAAAAGTAGGCTACGTAATGAGCGGAACTAGGCACAAAGCGATGGAGGCTACTCGATTGCGCAAAGAAAATCAAGTAACCCATATTTCCATTCACAATGATTTGATTAATTTGTGTGAAGTGTTCTTCTTTGTAATGATGGAAAACCGTTTGATGGATAATGATGGTTGATCACTTTGTCTGAAATGTACTTCCTTCTAGTTTTTGACTTGTTCAGGTACTGACGGCAGAAGAGAAACGTTTGTTATCTGGCTTTTCTCAAGAGGAAAGGAAAAAGAAAGAAATGGCGATGCTGGGACAAATGCGAAGTCTTATAGCATCAAAACGAGTGGAATAGAGAATTCTGTGGCTTTATTTCATCATATTTTTGAGCTACGTTTTATCTCATGGATCTTCATTTGTCTAGTAATGCTAGGAAGGCTTTCTATCATAACCTTCCGATTTTTTTTGCTCATCACCACTTTCTAAACATTAACGTCTACATCACTATAGAAGTTCGGCTGTAATTATTAAAAATTCATGAAATCAAGCTAAATGAACGTACATTTTTTTTCAAGGAGCTTAATAAAGGTTGTAGACTTGGAATTGTTGGATTCGACAGGTTCTTCTAATAAATGAGCTCTAAACGCCCTTGCAAGAAGCTATTAAACTGCCTTCATTTGTAATCTGTATTCGTTGTATTTGATGAAGACGTCCATATGGACAGGGGAAATGTGTGCTTCAGCTGGTTTCCTAGTTCCAGTGAATGATTTACTCAACTTTTGCTGATATTAAATGCGACGTAGTCGTTAGGCTGCATTCGTTGCGGAGTCTTTTTCCTTGGTTCCATTTGCATAAAACTGAGGCTAAAGATAGGACAGTTGAAAGGCACGTCTGAAGGAACGATGTCTATCCGGTTGACTCTATCATTCTACGAATTCTAGCAACAGTTGGACAAATTTCTTGTGCTCCAATCTTCATCTGTTATTCACTTCTTGCTTTTATTTTGTCTATTTTATTTTATTCATTTTATTTTTTTTACTTTTATTCTTAGAACGAGAACGAGCTGGGTGCCGAATTCCTCCGAATGTTGGATTTGCCTCTGTTCTAGCTTTGTGTAGTAGTTCTTGTTGGCCTTTCTGTTGGGAGTAGGTGCAGATGGTTCTAATCTACAGGTGATCATGTTTACGCTGTTCAATGTGTTCATGTAAGCAGATTATGGAAAGTGTTTGAACACCGCGTAGCTCTTCGTTTCGTCAGTCGTTTTATGCTACAATTTGTTTATTTTAAATCCACTGTTGTCTATGGGTATGGATTCGGAAAACAACATGAGCAGTAGTATCACTCTGTGAAAGGTAGCGTTTGCTTTTTCTTTTTTTTTTTCGTGGTGGAATGGCTACTTTGTCATTCTCTCTACTTCGCGCTTTTGTCAACTAGGAGTTGTCACCTTTTCCGCAATCTGAAATGTTCTCTAAATTGCTGAGGAATTTGAAATTAGCACATCTTCTTGGATGAGATCACGGCTTTCCCAAAAATCTGCCCAGATTTGTCACTTTCTTAAAAGTTCTGCTTGGCCGAAAATGCATTCGGCGCGACCACCTTCGAAGTCTTTCTGACGAGAATTGTATGACGTCATCCACAATGCAGTCATTGTCTCTTTGAAAACCGCATGCGAATGAGATGAAATGGCGAAAGCAAAGTGATAGAAGTTTTCAAACCTTCATAATCCTCATTTAGTAGAATGCCATCAAGTCGTATGGTTTAAGAAACGGTGTTGAAGTTTACTACAAGCACTACCACTTTGCCAGCATCACTTTTCACCACATGGTTTTGTTGAAAGATGCTGTATTGGAATTTTGGTGTCGTCAACGAACCTGGGCTAGTTATTCCTCTTTGTCCCTCAACTCTTACATCGTTGAATTGTTAACTATTCGATTCTCAAGCACGGGGAAAGAAGTGCTTTAATTAAAGTGGATAGATAGAATTGCTGTCGTTGTGTTCAGAATGCATCCTTTGCTCTTGTCATATTGTCAGCAATCAGGCGAATAGTCGTTGTGAGTGTTGGTTCAACTGAATCATTGAAAACCCTAGCAATATGTTTAGAAGACGATACTGAATATTTCCACCTGAAGAAGCTATTGTTTTTGTTCATTGTGGGCTCGACTGGAAAGGCTGAGCCTTTATGGTCCACTCAGTTTTTGCGAAAGCTAGCAAAATCGCCATGCGGTCTTACTAAATAATAATCGTCTATGTCTATCCTTGTGTATGTATCTTCATTTCATCTGGATAGAGATGACCGAGTATTTTCTCCACTACTATTGTTTTCTTGTTACAGTACCAGTATCGCCCACCGTCCCGGTATCGCATTAGTCGCATGGTGATAAATCCCCCTTTGATCCACAATTACGGCGAATGTATGCAGTGGTGACGATCTGGGGTAGACTTCGCCTTGGCTGACCTCGGAACAGCAAAACTCCGAAGAAATCGAAATTATTGCTGGGCGCGCACAACCAGTGAGGACGGGCCATAAATGTATCCAAGTAAGTAATATTGCATTTTAATCGCAATTCCTGCAGTTACTTTTTGTCTTGAGTAAAGGGAAAGTCGAATGTGGACTAGACGATTCTTAATTTAATTAATTATTCAGTTGTCCAGTTCATCAATTTGAGTGTAAAGTGGAGTGGCAAGAGAAAACTTAAACTTATTGAACTAATAAAATTGTTACTGGATGAGGATGAGGACTGATAGGAGCGTAAAGAGGATTTTTGAAGATAGATATCAAGTTTGGTATTACTTGGATGGTCCGTCTTCACTGGTTGTGCGTGCACCTGCATAATTTCCGTTCTTCCGAAGTTCTGCTGGTCTAGCCGTTGTGGTTTTCTGGAGCCCCGAGGTCAGCCTGACCGAACTCTGCCCCAGGTCGTCACCACCACAGGCAGTCGCCGGTCTTTGTGGATCAGAGGGATTTGCCACCATGCGACTAGTCTCATATCAGGACGGTGGTCGATTCTGATATTGGTTAGCAAATTTGATATTATTTTTTCCAATCCTAATTCATACGTCAACTTACATTACATTATGATGCTAATATAAGGATAAATCCACTCGATATAGTAGTGCTGGAATGAGGTTGTGAAAAAATTCTCAAAAAAAGTGAGAGAGAGAGAGAGAGAGAGAGAGAGAGAGAGAGAGAGAGTGCAACAATAACAAATCATCATTACGAGTATGGAGGCTGTTACGTGTTGATTCAATTTTTCGTCAACTTATAAAGGACTTCGACACCTTCGATGGACCTCTCTCCGGTTGCCTGTGCGACGTATTAATTAGATGTTGATATATTTATTTATGTGATCTTATAAACTGATCTTCTTAAGCTGACGCGAGGTTGGTACAAATCTTCGTTGTCCTTGTCGTTGTTTTTGATGTTATTGATCGATGGCTGAGGTTTCGGCGATTTCGCCTTCCTCAGAGCCTGGACGTATTTTATGTTAGAATACTTTTTATTATTCGGTGGAAAAGAAGGTTAAAGTATTAATGAAGATCAAACTTTCAAATAGACGCCATATTGAACAGAAAGGCCACTCACCGTGATGTTACGTGCGGGATTGGCCCACACGTAGTTCACGCGAGCAAGACACGCCCAGGGGTCAAAATATCATTTTGAAATAGGGCGCAAGTCACGCGTGATAGTGAGGCATTCGTCCTTCCGGTTCATCTTTGGATTTTTGAAATTTATCCAAAACGCCTCAAGAGTTTTGCGCGTTGATGTTTTTGATTCCTGCGCTCCGCTAATTCACTTCAAAATCATCGCCGTTGTGCTTCTGTGCCCTATGCGTACCTAGAGGTGTGCTTTGACGAGTTTTGACTTTCCCATCTAGGTGTTCTTTTATGCGGACACAAAGTGGTCTACCCGTTTCCCCGATATATTCCTCGCCGCATGCATTACATGAGATCAAGTATATTATACCTAAACTCATGCAATCCCCGTCTCTCCCGTTAGGGCAGATCATACAGTTTTCTGAGCTGCACAAACGATCATAGAGACGGTTTCGAACTAACTGGCAGCGTAGGGTATTGGGTGGGATGTCAATAATCGCTACATAATTTTCAAAACCACTTTTTGGCAAGCACTTTTTAATGGNTACATGAGATCAAGTATATTATACCTAATCTCATGCAATCCCCGTCTCTCCCGTTAGGACAGATCATACAGTTTTCTGAGCTGCACAAACGATCATAGAGACGGTTTCGAACTAACTGGCAGCGTAGGGTATTGGGTGGGATGTCAATAATCGCTACATAATTTTCAAAACCACTTTTTGGCAAGCACTTTTTAATGGCGTGACTTACTTCATTTGATATGAAGGGCAGCTTAAAGGGGATCCTACTTTCGTCTGAAATATTATTTTGGGAAACTACCCAGCGTTTTCCACTAACCCGAGTGGCTTCTACTTCATAGCCATTGGAAATGGCAATTTTTCGTGCCAGGCTTCGCGATTCGCGATTCCTTCCTTTTCTCTTATCCTGTACATTCGTTTGTGCAGCTCAGAAAACTGTATGATCTGTCCTAACGGGAGAGACGGGGATTGCATGAGTTTAGGTATAATATACTTGATCTCATGTACTCTGTATATCTTATGTAAAGTATTCTAACATAAAGTACGTCCAGACTCTGAGAAAGGCGAAGTCGCCGAAACGTCAGCCATCGTTCAATAACATCAAAAACAACGACAACAAAGATCTGTACCAACCTCGCGTCAACTTAAGGAGATCAGTTTATAAGATCACATAAATAAATATATCAACTATCTATGCCGAGGTTCATAGAAAGTCGGTCTTTCGAGTTATTAATTAGATGAGTGGATTCGACGTGTGCAGATATTTCTCAGCAGCTGTTATAATTTAATACCCCTCCTGAAAAAGGGTTATTAGTTGAAGCTCTTAGACTAACGTGTTCGTCTCCTGATATTCCTCCTCCTACTATTGCCTTTCATATCACTTATGGCATGAAGTTTTGCTAAACTGGTTCGACTTCAGGGAATCATCATTTATTTTCGATAACGAACTCTTGTTACTGGTTGCCCAATAAAAAAGCTATTTCTAATCAGGAGAAAGTCGACAGATTTTCCTTGTCCAGCTTTTCTTCCATCGTTGACCTAAATGAAATCCTCTGTGTGTTTCTGGATAGTCCCTATTCAGTAAATTAACCTGGATCTTTTCGCTCTGTAGTAGCATCCATCTATTGCTCACTATCAATCAAGGTTTTTTATAGAGTTCTCTTTTATTCCCAAAATTTTTAGGAACTTAATTAAAGGCATTACCATGGGAATATAGTAGTTTTTTAAGTTCGATAAATTG